GATTTGCCTCTTCCTTTATTCAAGGAATGAGGACTTACATGATAACGCATCTTCCTTTATTCAAGGAACGATGACTTCATGATGACGCATCTTCCTTTATTCAAGGAATGAGGTCTCCAACCAGGGATAAGAATCTAGCGTAGCGGGGAATAAACATCTGCAAATAGCTTTCGAACTATTGGAGTCTTATAAGCAGGCCTCAGATAGATGGGGTCTTATAGTTAGGCTCAACAATAGTGCTATCGGAGTCTTATAAACTGGCCTCGAATGATGAGGTCTTACAGCTAGGCTCAACGATAGTGAGAGACGAGGAATAAACATCTCACGAGGTTAGGAATAAACGTGTAGCGATTGGCCTCTTCCTTTTTTCAAGGAATGAAGACTTATAAAACACCTCATCTTCCTTTATTCAAGGAACGAGGACTACATGATAATGCCTATTCCTTTATTCAAGGAACGAGGACTTCATGATAATGCATCTTCCTTTATTCAAGGAACGTGGACTTCATGATAATGCATCTTCCTTTATTCAATGAATGAGATCTCCAACCAAGGATAAACATCTGGCGTGGCGGGAAAGAAACATCTGGATAAACATCTCCAACCAACCGTGGACTTCATGATAATGCAAAACTCTCGAACTATCGGAGTTTTATAAGCGGGCCTCAGATCGACGAGATCTTACAGCTAGTCTCAACAATAGTGCTATCGGAGTCTTATATACTGGCTTCAGAATGATGAAGTCTTACAATTAGGCTCAACGATAGTGAGAGGCGAGGAATAACCATCTCGCGAGGCCAGGAAGAAACCTTTGGCGATTAGCCTCTTCCTTTTTTCAAGGAATGATGACTTATAAAATACAGTCTCTTCCTTTATTCAAGGAACGAGAACTTCAAAATACTACCTCTTCCTTTATTAAAGGAACGAAGACTTATAAAACGCTGACTTTGTTAATAAGAAATCTACGAGCTAGGGCTCTCCATCAATGATAATATTAGGCATTTGGTTGTTCACTTTGTTTTTCATATTGGGCCATTTACTTTCAACAGAATTTGTAAACCTCAACACTTTAATTGTTTAATCTAAAGTAGGACAATTTGCAGCAATTCACAACATAATCTTCGGTGTATAAATTAATTCTTCATTCTCTTCACAAGTAGAGGTTTAATGAACTGGCAACAATAAAGTATGAAGTGCTGCCAACTTGATGCATAATCAAATATTACCTCTAATTCGGACCATTACAATAGCACAAATTGTCCAAGAAAAAGTTATATTCATGGCAATACCCTCATGCACAAGACCAAAGTTATAAATTCAATCATGGTGATCAATTTAATGGTCACAATTCGTTTTGTTAGAACACCAACTAAATCCTCTGCCAATTTTATATTTTAGATACAAGTGCTTTCGTGTCTTAATAAAATGGGTAGGGAAATTTTGAAATACCATTTTGAACAATTGGAAAAATGGAGTTATTCTTTGCTACTACCTTTACCCATTCTAATTTAAAATGAGTGGCAGCCCAACAGAAACCTAGATCATATGTCTACAAGTGTGCTCAAATAAGAATCACAGAAGTACTAGGAAAATATGGGCCAATAGAAAATAAATCTTGGAGCCCAATTATATTTTGTAAATAGGAAATTACATTTACATCTGGAATTAGATTTCCAATTTCACAAATAAGGTCACAAGTTTAACATTTCAAAAATCAGGTTTTAATTAATAATTTAAAAACATTTTTTATTTTTATTTTTATATCTATATACAATAAAATAATTTGACCCAACCAAACCCTAAATCATTTGAACCAATT